CATCCTGGAATATACACCAGTTGTATGCAGGCAACTGGAAAGTTTTAAAGTATGGTGTGAAACACTTGCCTTCAGTCAACTAGATGTATTTATTTCTGGGTCTACCCTCAAAGTGTATGTGGCAGCATTGTGACAGATTGACGGTTTACCACTGGGTGCACATAAACTAGTCAAAACTTTTCTTAAAGGTGCAGAACCTTGCCAACTTTCACACAAGACAGTGATCCCACATTGGGATCTAGATTTGGTGCTAAGCAGTTTGTGCAACTTGCCATATAAACCAATGGAAGATGCATATGCAAGACAGACTTTTTAAATGACAATCACTATGGCCGAATGAGTAGGTGAGTTATCGGTCAGCATGCAAAGTTTGTGCTAGAGTTCAAGCATGTCACAATGTAGCCAAAGATATTGATGCCACAGTATATCGATAAAGCTATCAACCTATATGCATATCAGTGTGACGAGGAGGAGGGAGTGGCCAGGCTGTGAGGATACACACCTGGCGCTGAGGGGACTAATCTGTGGGAGAGAGAGATAATAAGCACGTGGAGACTCCCGAGGGAGAGAGAGAGAGTGAGAGAGAGAGACGCAAGCATGTTTTTATATTTGTCCTACATTTGTGTTTTACATTCTGATTTAGTTCTGTTCATGATTAAACTTTATGTTTGTGTTCAGTCAGTTCCTGCCTCCTCCTTGCCTATCTTTGAAGTTACAATGGGACAGAAGACCCACTGGCATCTGCCAGGGAGGTGGAGGTGCGGCTGCCATCCGCCTGAAAAGGGGAGGAGACATAGCCGGCATAGGAAGTCCCATGCCATCGCCTGGGGGATCGCTTCCCAGCTGGCTGAGGACTAGGTGACAGTGTGTCTGGGGACTGGGGAACCAGTTTTCTTTAACTCTCTCCTGTCTTTCCCTCTGTCTCTCTTTCCCGCTTGTTCCTTCTCTCTCCCCTCTTCCTCCCCTCGTCTCCCCGTTCACTCACAGGATGCAGGGCCAGCCAGCCGGAGGAGGCGTGGCCGAAAGGCAGCACCTCTCCTCCCGAAAAGGGAGGAGGGAGTGTACGTCAGGCCAGAGCCCTGTATCTGGTCACGGAGGAGTGTGACGAGGAGGAGGGAGTGGCTAGGTTTTGAGGAGGCATGCCTGGCGCTGAGGGGTCTAATCAGTGGGAGAGGGAGATAAGGAGCAGGTGGAGATGCCAGAGGGAGAGACACACACACATGTTTTTATGTTTGCCCTACATTTGTGTCTTATGTTCTGTTCAAGTTCTGTTCATGATTAAATTTTATGTTTGCGTTCAGTTGGTTCCCGCCTCCTCCTTGCCTTTGAAGTTTGTTACAATCAGTAATCCTATCAATCTATCTACCCAAATCAGCCTATTGTCCAGCGAGGTCAATGGCCAACTGTTTGTTTTGTGGAGCATGATTAGGGGGCTCCCTTTTCTAAAGAAATTTTAGCATATTCGGTAAAGGAAGTGATTGCAAAGGTGCACATGGCTACTTCCTAGGTGGCACTAAAAGGAGTGTCACTCGCAGACATTTGTGAAGTGTCAACATAGAGTTCATGATCGATCTTCTCCATATTTTCCAATGCTTCATTGCAACCCATGTCCTCTGTGGTGAGTTTGAGTGATCCTCACCCTTAACAGAATATAGTTTTAAGACTCTGATTCTGATCCTCAGTAGAGTACAAAATCAGCACCATGAGTAATTTTCACTCTCAACAGAAGGTAGAGCAAAACTGATAAATATAATCTTTGTCAGCTCTAACCTGTTTGAATAAGCTTTTTGTTTGGAATTATGTAAGTTTTCATGGGTCATATTCATAGCATGTAGTCTTCTAGGCTCTGCCCTACTATAACATTTTCATTCATGTAAAGGATGTCCAATTGACCAAGAACATCTCTTTAGATTTTATAGCAGTATGCTTGTGGCATTTATCCTAAAATATCCCATATACAGTAACAATAATTATTCAAGAATAAAACCCCAGCTTCTTGATGATTTGCATGCGTGCACATCCATGAGTGCAATTAAGAGAGGAACAGCATGTGACTTCACTTTTTTCAAATTTCACATCCAAATTTGTATAAAAGGTTAGCAATTGTGCTTTTTCTTATTACTTTGTTCGAATAAAATCAAGTGAATTCCAAATACATCAATCTTGCTTGTTTGAACATTTTACCCTGATGAATTTATATGAATTTGAACAAATAAGGGTGATATGGTTGGATCTTGTGGTTGGATTGCATACAAATTAAATCAGAATAGATATAAATGCTACAAGCTTTAACCTTTTTATCTTTTTATATGACTTGAAATATGCAAATTATGATGAATTTGCAAGTGTGAGACCATGCATATTATTTTGGCCCATCGCTGTAGCTCTGTGGCTTGCTATTTCTCTATGGCTTGCTATTTCCCCACCCACCCAGGACAGCCGAGCTTGGCCCACTCATCACAGATTCGCAGCACAGTCGCTCCCTTGATAGATGTCTCCCAGCTGCTCTTTGCCCCTGCAGTAGACCCTCAACCATTGCACAGAAGCCTGTACTGTCTCTCTTAACCCTCCCTGAGACTATTATCCCTGAGCCGGGCCACAAAGCAGCTCGTCTGGGGTCAGTGCTCTCCTGGCCCTGCCTAATGAAGCATGCCGTGCCCACAGGGACTGTAATCACCCGGGTATGCATACATCTACCTCTACGGCTCATCAGCCCAGATTACCATTCACAAATCAATGAGGGGTGCTCGTCCCCAAAATGCTTCAATTCATTTGCCTCGTGCAGGTTATAGCTCAGACGTAGCCTTTTCCATGTATGGGTGATGGAGGGACGTGGGTGGAAATGGGCTTCATCGGATTCAGCCTTGACCCCAGATGAGGCCGGACTGAACCAACTGATGCTTGTAATTGTAGCTGTCCTTTGAAATGAAATTATGAATCATATTAAAGCCACCACAGGTCGAGTCATAATTCTAATCAGGAATCTAATGCAATCTTGATTTCATGCTTTAGATATTAAACTACAGCAGCGGTAAGCTTAGATCTAGACCGTACTGCAAGTTGAACTGAAATATACTTGCACACACACACACACACACACACACACATACACACGCACCACATACTGTCTCCTGCTTCAGTGGCTCTATCTTATTAAAGGCAGTATCTACAGCTACTGGGGAGCTATCATAAGCGTTTTATTATGGACTCAAAAAATATGATAATTCAAAAATCAAATGCTTGCCTTCCACACGTTCTGGCCTCAATTTCAGTCTGAGCGGTGCTGCTTTGCTTTAATAGGAGTGACGAGATAGAGGAAACTTCATAAGATTCTCAGATTTCCACATCATTTTTCCCGCTGACATTTATTTATTTAATTGTGTTTTATAATTAGAACATTATAATTGAGGTCCTTCACCTACTGCACCTATGTATAAAAAAAGGGTCTACAACAAATTTAATTAAAACCTGTATTATCTCCTTTCATAGAGGAAATTGAATTATGTTTGAAGTGAGGGAGATTGCAAGCTGACAACATAGTTTTCTTTATTAACTCAGCTCCTCTGTATTTCATTCCCATCCTACGCCTCTAGAATGTCCATCCAATATCATTTTTATCGCCTTGGTTGGACGGATTTTTACTCATTACTAATTTAACTCAAATAATATTACGGATGAGAACGTAATAGTGAGAATGATGTATAATGTAAATTACACATCTTCATAAACATCTGAAAAAGAAAGAAAAAAAAAACAGGCGGAATAAATTATGAATAATGATATTTCTATATTAATAGTGACAGCATGTGTATTATGCTGATCGCACACATGCTCACGTTTATCTTTTTATATCAATTGAAAGCACAGCTCCACTTCTTCTGCACTGATGTATAGTTTTACAAATTTGGATTTCAGCATCTTCCTCAGGGATTCCCAGAAATCCCACATAATCCGTTCTCTGGAGCATCCCAGACCTGCCAGTGATACCGAGCCTTGGTGAGTAATTCCTTTACCATCAGCACTATTCCTGGACTGGTCTGGACTACAGTGACTGGAAGAACCTCTGATATCCTCTAAGTCTTTCCCTTTCCTGGATAAGAGCTTCTTCCCAGAGTAGAGATGGGGAACAGGAGAAGATCTGTTCTGGCTGGCCAGCACTACTGATGCAAAGAGCCTGGGATTAGCCTGATCCATGCTAATCCTTCACACACATCGCTCTCAGCTGACAGTCCCTGTGCTCTCTGCAGCCCTTATCAATCCCACACTGCCACAGTATTACCTGGGTTTCTCGTCCAGAGCCAGGACAGTTGATTGCCAAAGCTTGTGTGCAAGATTGGAAAGTGAACATAGGGTCACCTTGTGTTGTTCTTGGTGGATGAATGAATGAATTTTCAGGGCAGGAGTAGCCATTACATAGTACTAGTTGATGGAACTGTATTTGTTTATATCTGATCTCTGTACAAATTTGACAGGTGTCACAGGTCCAGGGTCCCTGGTATGTTCCCCTCCCTGTGTCACTGTGGGTTTCCTCTAGGTTCTCCAGTTTCGTCCTGTCCATGATGCAGTCCCGCCAGTCTGCCTGTGAATCTAGAATGATTGACAGTTGCGCAAATGTTTTAAGTTTTTCTATATTAACTGACACCCTGGAAGGCCCACCCCCTTCCCCCATCTTGCAGTGGTCTCATCTCTTCTTGATTTTCCCACTTTCTGTATATTGTATAGTTCCATCCATCCATTTTCTGTACTGCTTATCCTACACAGGATCGCGGGAGAACCTGGAGCCTATCCCAGGGGACTAGGGGCAGAATCCGAGGGACATCCTGGATGGGGTGCCAACCCATCACAGGGCATAATCGCACGCACACACACATTCACTCACTACGGACAATTTGGAAATGCCAATCAGCCTACAACGCATGTCTTTGGCCTGGGGGAGGAAACCGGAGTACCCGGAGGAAACCCTCGAAGCATGGGGAGAACATGCGAACTCCACCCACACAGGGCAAAGGCAGGAATTGAACCCCCCAATCGCGGAGGTGTGAGGCAAGTGTGCTAACCACTGAGCCACTGTGCCCCCCATACTGTATACTTAACAACACCATAATTCCAGCCCTAAGCCTAAACTTTACCTTTTTAACTTTTTGTCTGGCTCGAGTTGTGCAAGTTATTACTAATTTGCAAGCATAAGACTATTTGAAATTGTTTTTACTAGTCAACATTCACACTTTGAAGAAGGATGAAGGTACCAAAGTGGTTTCATACCCGCAGTTGAAGTGGTGTGCTCTCCAAATCTCATCTGAGGCATGCTGCATGAAATTTTCAGAGGAGAGAACTGAATATGCATATTACTACACCATTTCTCACACAGAAAGCAAGATATAAAGGGACAGGAAAGAGAAAAGAAGTCATTCATGTTCTAATGTTAAAGAACAGGCAATTATACTGCTAATGGGATATGCTAATGATGTAGTCTGTCAGCAGTGCGTCCTGGTTTGACAAATATTCAAATCCAAAATGTGCAACCCTCATATTCAGACACTAGAGATGCGCATGAGGAGGACGTTCTAATGACCAAGAGCATTAGTATGTGTAGTTAGTGTAGCAACAGCATATTGGTTCTATGAAAACCAAACATACATATTCATAGACCCATAGTCCATTTCGTTGATAGGTCAAACATCTGCGATAGCAGCAAGTAAACATTAATTGGGCAATCTGTCAATTTAATGCCGTTCAATGTATTTTGCGACGTAGCATATCGCAGCATTTTGACTTAATGGGTATTTACACACAGTAGAAGCATGTGATCTGGATGGGTGTTGTACACGTGTGCAGCTCCGTAACACTTTATGGAAAACAGATGCTGGTTTTGTCCAGAGGGGATTTCTCCCCCTCAAAGATCTTAAGGAGAGAAAAGTGAAAGATGGAAAAATTGTTGGAGGTGAACAGAGGAGAGCTAATGGATCAAAATTACCCCTGTCAGAAAGTTTTGACGAGCGCTGATGAAATTGCTTTTTTGTTTCTTTCTCCAATACCCCCCACCACCCCTCCCACCCCATCTCAATATAAGACACAGAAAGAGAAATCCATCTGTAACACGGCCATTGTCATCGCCTCACAATTTACACCCTTTTCCTCTCGACGCCCGTTCCTGTGCTTGATGGCGTGATAAATTAATCTTTTTCCATGTCACTGCATCGATTATTTTAAGAGAATACATTAAGAGACGTTTTTCTTTTTTGTTCCTGAGTAAACATTGTCCTTTTTTTTTCAATCTCCCTTTCAGTCACCATGACAAATCATATTCTCTGGAGATGAAGGGAAAGAGACAGAAATAAAAAGAAAAATGAGAGGAGAGGGATGGAAGGATGGATTGAAGGGGGGTGGGGGGTGGGGCATTTTGGAAAGCTGTTGCGCTAGCTGGATCAGTCAAAGTGCATTGTTTGATGGAGTGCTGTGTCCAAGCTGCCGCTTCTCGCTGCACACTGGCAATGATAGTTGTGGTTGTTATTAAAGAATTGTGACCTTCACGTTAATCGCGTTAGACACTGGAGGCCATGTGCTTAATAATCAGTCACTCAGCATTCAACAGGGTGGAAATATCACCCGGCGCAAACAGAGGAGGGACAAACCGGAGAGAAAACACTGCTGCTCGTGTGGTATAAGTGTGGTATTAAAAATGTCACTTTTCCATGTCATGTCCTTTAAAGGATCCTTTAAAAGATACTGTTGCTCAGTGACTTTATGGCATGGAAATACTGATAACAATGCATTTGAAGGGTACCTACTAGGTAATGCTGCTGTTTAGTGCTGTAAATCTCTCTAAGTTGGCTTTTTTTACCCACTTTGCCCCAAGAAACACTGGAAAACACTCACAATTCCTCAACCTCAACTACCTCACTCAAGTTCATATATGGTCTCAACTAGTGAGGTGCATGTGACTGTTTTTTTATCCAATTTGTGCAGTTATTATTTTTGGTTGTACCTGCCCATGATATTTTCTAACTAATTTAGTTGGTTCAATTTCTCCAAATACAAACAAACTAGTAGCCTAATTTAAACCATCTGACTACTTGCACTCCCTCTAATCTCAACCAGCTGCCCTGTGAACCTCTCCGCAAGCTTTCTAAAAAAGAATTACCTGTTTTTGTTCAACATACGTATGTATTCATATTCTGTTACATCCCTAGTACCTCCATTGGGCCACCATAGCATATCCATAAGCATTATTATGAAAGGCTTATGTCAAAACTCAAAGCGGGATCTGCATAAAAGCATGCAGATACAAGTCAAACGCTTCAGTTAACATTCACATCAAACATCAGAATGGGGGAAAAAGGTGATCTCAGTAGTAAGGCTGTGGTTGCCAGACATCTTGGTTTGATTTTAGAAACTGCTGATCTCCCGGGATTTTCACATACAACAGTCTTTAGTGTTTACAAAGAATGGTACAAAAAACATCTAGTGGGTGGGAACACCTTGTTTACCAGATGCTTTGAGCTGATAAGAAGGCTACTGTAACTCAAACACTACATTACTCATTACAACCATGGTGAGCAGAAAAGCATCTCAACATGCCAAATGGGCTACAATAGCAGAAGAGCATTCCAGGTTCTACTTATCTCAGATCATAACCAGAATCTGAAGATATAATGTGCACAGGTTCACCAAAACGGACACTTCAAGATAAAACTGCCGCCTCATCTTTTTTGCCTGAATGGTTAATTCTTAATTATTAAAACATATTTCCTGACAATACAAACAATAGTTCTATTATTCCACTCCCCTTGGAGGTTTCCTGTAATTTGATCTTAGTTTTAAACCCTGAATTATCATAATGGCCAGACTGTTTAAGATTGTTTCTACAAATTTTGATCTTTTCAGTTATATTATAAACTATTAATTTATTTTTACTAACAACACATTCATGAGTGCAGAATTTTTTATATGTAGCCGTATATATTTACTTAGCTAATGTATTAGCTTCTTAAATAAGTGAAGTGGTATACACAGAGCTCCATAACAGTATTATAAATGCAAAATTGATTTCTGTTTTAGGTTAGGGACATGAAAACCATTCATTTCAGTGGCATATGGGCTAAATGAGTGAAGTTACATTTGAACAATGCTTAGTGCTAGTTTTTAAAGCCAAATGGACAATGCAGGAGTGATCATCAAGACAAACTAGCCAATGTAGGTCTGCTTGTCTGAACCAATCAGTGTTAAAGCACAATTTTTGCGCTCCAAAAATAAATAAATAAATAAATGAAACCTCTGAAGTCTGCTTTCCTTCCAGAGGTACTGATATGCTTGGATACCATTTTTGGCTTGTTTGCATCAATGAGCGTTCACACACCAAAAAGACATGTTTTAAAGAGTGAGAAGGATGAAATCCATAAGTTAAAGTTGCACCAGCAGTTAAGGAGTTAACTCAAGAAGCATCCAATTCCATGCTCCTATATAAAGCAAAGACAGTAAATATAATTCCCAAAGGGTAAGGTGAGAGCTAGATACATTATAGAAGATTCTTCAAAGCTCCATAAATGTGCTTTTAGTAAAGGCAAACCAAGGTTGCACTTTATATTGCCTCTAAAACCTGTGTCATTACATTATAATGTAAATACTCAAGATTTATGCAGTAGTAAATACATCATCAGCAGTCGCATTATAGTTGCATGTTGCACGTATAACAGCAGCTCTGACAGCAATTCAAATTTTATATTAATGTACTCGTTATAATATGTTTGCGTTCCTATAGCAACAACTCATTCACAGTGATGACGGATTCATATGATGGACGCTACACATAATCTAAGGCTAATAATAATAAATATTTATGTATCATCATTATGGTGAAGCTTTGTGTAAGGAGATTTACAGAAGGAGTTTCCAGTATCTGCGCTTTATAATGGTCAGTAAATTTTCCACCACAGGAAAAACCTTCAGGACAGTTTGTGCTTTCTGGTTTCTCAGTAACATGACAATTTTGCGTTTTCTTAATAACTTCAAGAGGGAGGGGAAAAAAGAGAGGCTGGTGAGTGAAGGACTGTTTATAGCTGCTAACATAAGTGATAAGAACTCATGGATGTTACACTATACTTTAGATGTAACTATAAATGGACAAAAAGTACAGTATGAAGTTATTTAGTTAAAAAAAAACCATAATCGTTGGCTAATTGCCATGGTGTAAGAGGAATACAACATTTCGGGATGTGCTGTTATTGGAAAACAATGCATTTTTGAGTGGTAGCAGTAACTCATGCTTCATGTCAGGCTGTATCACATCCCCACATTGCTGATTATTTTCCTGTAACAGCGTGTCATAATGATGCATAATGATAATTGCAGGTTCTTCTCTCTTTCATGGAAAAACACATAATACATTTAAAGAAAAACTGTAATGTTACCTTACAAGGTTTGAAATTAAATGTACTTATACATAAATCCTCAGGCATTGCTTTATAAAAAAAAATGTATCCCGTGCTTACAAGCATGTTATGAAGGCTCAATGCTGTAAGGCTTACAATTTACAGCTATGTCACTGGAAATACAGTAGTGCATAATGTATAGATGGGTGAAGGGAAAGTATCCATCCAGATCCCTATCCTAAATTTCTTACCTGAGACACAGAGCCTGTCACTACAGCTCTGCAGATCCGTGAACTGTGACAAAGAATGGCTGAAGTACTTCAAGGAAGAGTGACGCAAAAGAGAAGGAGAGAAAAAACATGGAAAGAAAGAGAGGCCAGGCAGGTGAGACCTGGGGCTGAATGTGAATGTGTATGTGTTCAGGGTTCAAAAGGCCTGCCCTCCCAACGGACCTTCTCTCCCACCGAGCAGGAGCAGTGCATCACTTACTCCTGCCCACTGAGGCTCTCCTCTCATAAAAGACTCACTTTTAAGGACAAAAGTGGGGAGATCAATCTTCTTTACAGGGGCTATAAAAGTGAAACGCTGCATTAAGGGTCCGCTGATATCTACAGAATGGTATACACTTTGCACAATTTTTTTTTTCCAGCTCTTCCCTGAGCATAACCTTCTCTAATTCATCGGGAACCCCATAGGGGACTTGGGG